TGAATGAAATCTTAGTATTTGTGACAACATTGGTGGACCTAGACAGTATTATGCTAAGTGAAATAAGTCAGACAGAGAAAGACAGGTACCATATGATGCCACTTATATGTGAAATCTAACAAACAAAATAAACCATCAAATAGAAACAAACTAATAGATACAGAGAATAAATTGATGGTTGCCAGATAGAAAGCGTGCTGGGGGAATGGGAGAAAAAGTAGAAAGGGATTAAGTATAAATTACCAGTTATAAAAAAATAGTTATTGGATGTACACTACAGCATAGAAAATATAAGCTATGGTATTGTAATAACTATGTATGGTGTCAAATGGTACTAGACTTATAGGGGTGATCATTCATAAGGTATATATTAATAAATGTCTAATCAGTATATTGTACACCTGAAACAAATATAATATTTATCTCAACTGTACTTGAAAAATAAACTTAAATTTAAAAAAATTCATTTGACCTTAGACACATGGGTTTATTTTGCACTCTAAATTCTATCCTGTTGGTTCATATGTCTATCCTTAAGTACCACATTGCCCTGATTATTGTAGCTTTGTGGTAAGTTTTGAAATTGGAAAGTGTGAGTTTTACAACTTCAATCTTTTTTTCAGATTGGTCTTGGTTATTCTGGGTCCCTTTCAGTTTCATAATATTTTTAAGTTGAACTTGTCAATTTCTACAAAAAAAAAAACAGCCAGTATTTTGATAGGGAATGCATTAAATCTACACATTGATTTGGGAAGTCTTGTCATCTTGACGATATTAAGTTTTCTGATCCATGAACATGGATGGTATTCTATTTACTTTAGATCTATTTTAATTTATCTTAACAATGTTTTGTAGTTTTCAGAGTATAAATTTTGCATTTCTTTTATTAAGTTTATCATCTTCTTGATGTTATTGCAAATGGAACTATTTTCTTAATTTCACTTTTGCATTGTTTATTGCAGTTTATAGAAATACAATTGATTTTATGTATTAATCTTGTATCATGAAACCCTACTTGTTTATTAATTCTAATAGGTTTTTAGTGTATTTTTAATTATCTATATACAAGATCATATTATTGACAACAGAAATAGTTTTTCTTGATTTCCTATATCAATACCTTTTATTTCCTTTTCTGATCTACTTCCCCTGGCTAGAACTTTTAGTACAATGTTGAATAGAAGTGGTAAGAAGTGGTTATCTTGTTCCTAAACTTAGGGGAAAGCATCCAGACTTTCACAACTAACTATGATGTTAGCTACAGGCTTTTCATAGATGCTCTTTATCATGCTGAGAAAATTCCCTTCTATTCCTAGGTTGTTGAGTGTTTCTGTCACAAAATGGTATTGGATTTTGTCAAATGTTTTTTCTGCATCTGTTGAGATGATCATGTGGTTTCTGTTTTTTATTCTA